CACACACACACACACACACACACACACACACACACACACACACACACCCACACACACACACACACACACACACACACACACACACACACACACACCCACACACACACACACACACACACACACACACACACACACACACACACATATTTAACAGAATTTTTCAAATTGATTTTTGTTTTGAACTAAAAAAAAAAAAATCACCGACTAAAAAGAGAACTGTAATTCGCATACATTATGTTGTAATTAATAAATAATCGTGTGGTACCCCACTTACCATGTACAATTTACAAACAAATTTACTATTTAATGGTCACAGTAATATACCTATATTTGAGACTATTGGTGGTTAGTTATTCATAAACATTGTATTAACAAAATTTGAATTGTTTTTCTAGGAAGCGGATGAGAAATACCAAAAAAGATCTGTTTAAATAATTATTTAAATTCGATTTTGAGCCTATTGGTAGCGAATAAAAATATTGGACAGTTTTCGAGTACATTAACTGAAAAAAAAATAGAAGAAATCAAAGTATTGAATCAAAACCAAGATTCACACACGATATTGAATGAAGAAACTAAAAAATCGATATCTATATTATATAAAGCTGACAGAGCTAACAAGTTAATCAATCTTGTTAATTTTTTTAAATTTATAAATTACATATTGAAATGATGCCAATTTTTAATATAAATCGTAAATATACATATTTAGCTTTTAAAATAAAATTCGAGCAAATATTTTTTTCAATTGATTGCATTTGTTGTATCGATTAAGACCTCTCACGAGTTGTTCATAACACGTAAAAACGTTGAAAATATCTGTTTTTACTAAATATGTGACGTATTTTATATCTATAATAATATATGGTAGTATGCTTAACTAGATGTTGGGATCATTGGATTTAAATTTTAGCTGATTCAAAATATATCTAAATATTGCAGAAACACACGTTATCTAACATATAATAATTTAACGAGTGTTGTTTTATATTTATAATTTTTGTTTTATTTTATCTCAGATTAAAAGATATACATAATCTAAAGATTTGATCTTGACATTTTTTTGATGTTTTTTTCGTGATTTCGGTTTTTTTTTTTTTTTGAGTTATACAAAACAAAATGAATATAGATACTCAAATACTTTGACACGTCTCTTAATCTTACTGGCACCCACTATATACAGATTAAATTTGTGCGTTATACAATTATAATTATACATCATATGTTCTAATCTTTATTATATACTAGAAATTAATCATATTTCATATATGTCATATCAACTGAAAATTCATCTACATAAAATAATTCGATAATGTTAAATTTATATTATGAAATGTAACTATACTTCAATTCTTATAAATCCCAATATTTTCACAAAATTATAAATTTCATTTAGTTATTCTGCAGGATCAGGTTTCATAAACTCAAAATTCCTTGTATTATATATTTAATTACATCCTAAGTTTTTTTTTTTTTTTTTTGGTATTCATAAGAAAGAACAAGCCCGGACCAAACATTTTAGGAGACTATATAATAATAACTAAATAGGT